TTCATTTTTCATTGCTATTATCTAAAAAAATATTTAATTTTTTTTTTAATTTTTCTTATTAAGTTGCATTTAAATTAAATATTATTAGAGTAAAATATTTATTAAATAAATATGCAACATTATTTTCGAGATATATTTTATTTGTAAAAAAGACAAYTTTTYCTATTTTATGTTGTTCAAATAAATACATATATTTTAAAGTTTTCTTTAAAATATTAACGAAATAAATTGTTATCTATAATTTTTTAATATTGTTATATTAATAAATACTTCAAAAAAATCTAATTAATTTAATATATTTATACGTCAAGTAAAATTTTTTTAAACAAATATAATATATTCGTCAAGTAAAGATAATATTTTTTGGTAAAAAAAAATAATTCTTATTTTCCTTTTTTCAAAAAAACACATATTTTTTAAAAAATATTAGCGAGATAAGTTGCGTTCTACTAGTTTTATTGATATTGGTATATTAATGAATAATTTATTTTTTTAATTAATTTAATACATTTATTAAAAAACATGTAAAATATCTAAATATTATAATTAAAAATACAGTGTTTAATAAGAACTAGTAGATGCTATAATAAAATAATTTTGAAAGTACAATGATGTAGTAAGAAAGTCACATCACTATACTACATGTGGACAGCCTACGTGGACATTGAGGTGGCATGGAAACCTAGTATAATGGGTAAATTTAAATCAAAAGGTTACCCAATGCTATAATGGGTAAATTTTTCAAAGTACAATGTCATAATAAATAAATAATTTGAAAGTACATTGCTGTAATAAGAAAAACTGAAAGTACAATGTTATAATAAAAAAAATTATGAAAGTAGATTGCTATTTTATGCATTTTGCCCATTAAATAATTGGTGTTAACTTTGTGAACTAATTTTGATCCTTGATTCTTAAAATCTATGGAAGAGATCAATTGTGGTATATTTGTAATTAATAAAAAATGAATGATATTAAAACATAGGTGAACAGGGGTGTTTTTGGAAGAGATGTCCAAATCGATTACAAATCGATAATTGATTAACTACATCGGTTACAAACCGGTAATTGGTTATTATGATAATAGTTCATAGAATCATCCGCGTTGCATTATGAATATTTGTGAATACATATGAACATATATGTAACTTATTAACTAATCTTAGTTCGTGGCTTTCACATATGAACATACGAGAACATTTATGAACACTTATTTGCACTTATTAAAACTTACGAACACTAAAGTAATTGGCTTTCACATGTGAACACAATAATATATGATCAAAGTGTTTCGCTTGTGAACACATATTGACAAAATGTTTGAAGTGTATATAAATATATATATATATATATATATATATACATTTACTGATCATATATACGAATGATTTATATAAAGATAGAGAAGAGATTGAAAAAATATACGTATATGAAGAGGGTACTACGTGATAGTGTAATTATCTAACGTACATAACTGAATATTAATATAATTAATAATCATATTAAATCCAATAAATAAAAGGATATCTGATTCATCAGATTGAGTTGGGTTCAAATAATCATAACATAATTTCAACTATATACCTACAGTTTAAAGATTTTACAACTCGATTAAATATTGGGTTGTTTCACATTGGATTATTTCACGCTAGGTTGGATTGGTCAAGTTTTAAATCACCTCTACTTTGGAAGACTATAATGGTACTCGCGCAATGCAGCGAGATACATTTTGATTTAATGTTTTGTTTTATTTTGATGTTTTTATTTTTTAATAAAATATAAATTTAAAGATATTATAATTTTTTGAAAAAAATAATATATCGAATTTAGTATCAAATTAAATATTTAAAAGTTTCTTTTGTGTAATTTATTTAATTCAAATTTTTATTATAATTTAATTTAGAATTAGTAATGAAGTTATTTATTTTTGATTTAATAGTATATTTTTTAATAAAGATAATAATTAGTATTTTCTTAGATTTCAATAATTATCCTAAATATATTTTAGATTTTTTATATTTAAAATGAAATATTTATTCGGTATTTGATCATGTTTATCTGCAGTTAGTTACACGAATTTAAACATGTAGCTTTAATAAATTATACATACATATAATTAACTTATAATCTTGAATTTTCAGTATTATGCATCAATAAGGAGTACTTAATGTATAAAAAATAGTTTTTAAAAATATAAAATATTTTATCTACTTTGAAAGATAGCTCTAGTTTGACTCTAAAAAGTCAAAATAGAGTTTTAATCGATAATGGTCCACCGTTATGAGAATTTTTGGGGTGGGGGGAGGGGTTTGACACGTGGCAGGGGTTGGGGTGGGATGAGCTGTAAAATGAGCTGGCAGGAATGGGGTTTAAAAAGTCGCGATCGCAATGCGGAAAGGAAGTGAGGGTCCAAACTCCAACCACTCTCACTCCACGTGAGCACGCTCCCCGAATCCTAGTCACCGTCCCCCTTGCCACCTAAGCAAATTCTTTTTCAGATCAAGTGGGTACCACTTTTTCTCACACTTTTTTTAAATAAATAACAATATGCACTATGTAGGTTATCTATACTATATTACTAGAAGGATACAACGTAAAATGTAGCGAGATATATCTTGATTTTAATGTTTTTTTATCTCAGTCGATGTTATAACGTTTCTAAGAAAACGTAATGTCTTTATTTTTGAATAAAATATAAATATGAATATATCATAAAATTTTGAAAAAAAAAATATTGATATTATAACCAAACTAACTATTTAAAGTTTCTTTATTTTTTGTGTATTTTTTTAATTTTTTTTATTTTTGGTTAAATATATATGATTTTTTAATAAAGATAATAATTAAGTATTTTGTTAAAAGTCAATTAATATCCTAATTACATTTTAGATTTTTTATATTTAAAATGACACTTTATCCTCTATTTTATTATGTTTATCTGCAGTTAGTTACATGAATTTAAACATGAAGCTTTAATAAGTAGTATTTACACACAATTTACTTGTAATATTGAATTTTAAGTAATATGCATCAATGAACAATATTCATGCATAAAAAATGTTCTTAGGAGTTTTTGTCAAATGTTTTATAATATAGTATAGATACGGATAAAACATTTGACAAAAATTCTCAAAAACCATTTTTTATGTATGAAATACTATTTATTGATGCATATTACTTAAAACTCAATATTGCAAATAATTTACGTAAGTACAATTTATTAAAACTAGTGTTTACCAATTATTGTTAGTTTATCGACTAACAAGTAGTTTATTAGCTAAGAGCATCTCCAATGGGCTCCAACATTTTATTATTGTTAGAGTATCTCCAACAGCTTCTTTAAAATAGAAAATGTGAGTTTTTGGTCTTTAAAATACTGCAACAGCTTTGTTATCTCTCTAAAATAGAGAATCATGGATAAAAATCCAGATATAGAGAATTCTTTAAAACTTGATTTTTGGGAGAGAGAAATGATTATTTTATTTAATTTCATAAATGATATTAAGTTATTATTTTTATTATAATTTAAAAAAAAGTGTATTGAGATGATAAATTAATAAATATAATAATAATATAATTATTTTTAAATCTTTAAAATAGAGAATTTCTTGAAGATAAATATAATTCTTTTTATAAAATTTATGCTTTATTTTATATTTTAGAAAAATTATAAAAAAAATTGTTGGAGATGCTCTTAGGAGACAAAAATCAAAAAAAATACCACTTCAATCAATCTCTACCTAAATTACATGATCTCACTCCTTAAAAAGCTTCTTACAAACCACAAGGATGGTGTCTGATTGGTTTGAGTTTGAACTTCAAATATCAAAAGTGTTTGGAGGTCACAAGTTCAAATCTAAAGAGGAATAAAAATCCCCTTGTGGGCATGAAGATTCAAATGCGGTGATTCCGGGCTACTCGTAAAGCAGGTGGTCGTCTTGAAATTAGTCGGTTGATATAACGGATTAGATATCCAGATTAATTAAAAAAACCTCTCACAATATATCTTCATTATTCTATTATTATTTATTTTATTAATAGTCAAAAAAGTAACTTACATCTACAAATAATATCATTATTCTATTATTATTTATTTTATTAATAGTCAAAAAAGTAACTTACATCTACAAATAATATTAATATAAGGTATAATTTTTAATACAAAAAATACTATTGGAATAACAATTATAAAAAAAAAGACATCGTACACTGATTTCTAGACAAATAACTCCAGTATCTATATTATATTATAAAACGTTTGATAAAAACTCTTACAAACCATTTTTTATGCATGAAGTATTGTTCATTGATGCATATTACTTAAAAGAGATTTTTATCGAAATAGCCAAAATATACTTGATATTTTAACAAAATAACTATTTTTTCAGGATTTACCGAAACGACCAAGAGGATCATCCCAGGGGGCATGGTTTGACCATAGGCACGACCCCTTCATTCTTTGACCAAAAAAACAATTTTAAATTAATTTGTGAAGCCCACTTGTATCTAATTTAGAAAACATAACACTATTTGTCTCGAAAAAGGGGATCGCTCCCGCCTAACCTCAAATCTTCTCCCGGGGACGATTCATTGTGCGAATACTTTTCTAGTAATATAATAATAAAAAAACATTTTAATTACTTAGATAAGATTAAATCAATAATAATATGGAAATACGTAAAAAAAATCCCATTTAAATGATAATTAATTGAATAAACACCATTAATTCACCAAGTATTTTTGTTGTGCTAATTAAATAAAATATCAAACTAACTATTTACAGTTAATTGGATAAGATTAAACCCACTTTTTTGGAAATTCATTAAAAAATATTAAAAAATTCCCTTTTAAAAATCATTAATTCCAGTCAACACCCTTATGACACGTGGCACCCACCACTCTCCCCTATATATACACCTTCACTTAATCACCTCTCATTCATACTTTATTCTAAAACCTATATATCATCTTGGAATCAACCGTGCAAATAATCTTCGAAAATGTTTGGATTATTGGAGCAAAACGTATCGGGTCGTCGATGTGTGTGGGTCAACGGCACAGTCGTAGTCGGGGCGGGCCCTTCAGGGCTCGCCGTTTCCGCTTGTTTAARGGAACAAGGGATTCCGTTTGTAGTCGTTGAAAGAGCCGACTGCATTGCTTCTCTTTGGCAAAAACGGACCTACGATCGTCTAAAACTTCACCTCCCGAAAAAATTCTGCCAACTTCCGAAACTACCCTTCCCGGACGAATACCCCGAGTACCCGAATAGGAAACAATTCATCACGTATCTCGAGAATTACGCCGAGAAATTCAACATCAAGCCACAATTCAACGAGAATGTTGAGTCGGCAAAATACGACGAGAAATGTGGCGTCTGGCGGGTTAAGACCGTCTCGGTGTTACCGGGATCGATTCGGTCGGAGACAGAGTATATATGCCAGATGCTTGTGGTGGCGACCGGGGAGAATGCCGAAGGGATTGTACCGGAAATCGAAGGCCTACAAGACTTTTCCGGTGAAGTCRTCCATGCAAAAGACTACAAGTCCGGCGAGRAATACAGCGGAAAGAAAGTTTTAGTCGTCGGTTGTGGGAATTCCGGCATGGAAGTGTCTCTTGATCTCTCGAACCACAATGCGAAACCATCAATGGTGGTTCGAAGCTCGGTACGTAAACCTTAAAAACCCTCGAAAAATCCTTTCATAAACCTTCAAAAAATCAAATGTTTTTCCAAGAAAACCAATACACATCAAAGATTTCTAATCCTTCTTTCGAATTTTCGTTACAGGTCCATGTATTACCGAGAGAAATCTTCGGAAAATCGACATTCGATTTGGCCACGACGCTATTGAAATGGCTGCCTCCATGGCTGGTAGACAAACTTCTGTTAATTCTCGCATTCTTCATCCTCGGAAACACGCAAAAGTACGGGATCAAAAGACCGTCTTTAGGTCCATTACAACTCAAGAATCATCACGGAAAAACACCGGTTCTTGACATCGGCGCACTCCAAAAAATCCGATCCGGAGCTATCAAAGTCGTCGGCGGAATCAAAAGATTCCACCGTGGTTCWGTCGAGCTCATCAATGGCGAAATTCTCGATATCGATTCAGTCGTTTTGGCAACTGGGTATCGAAGCAACGTSCCATACTGGCTTCAGGTACGAAAAAGTCGGAATCTTCTCCGTTTGTTTTCATGAAATCGAACCMAGATTGAGTTTGAGTGATTGAAATTTGAGGTTTGGATGAACAGGAGAATGAATTATTTGGCAAAGATGGATTCCCCAAAAGAGGGTTCCCCAATGGATGGAAGGGGAAAGGAGGGTTGTATGCAGGTGGGTTTGCAAGAAGAGGACTTGCAGGTGCTTCTGCTGATGCCATCAAAATATCACAAGATATTGGGAATGTCTGGAAACATGAACTGAATCAGAAGAAAAGGAAAGTTTCTACTCATAGAAGATGCATTTCAACTTTCTAATTTTAGAATGTCTTCTCTTGTTAACATATACATATACATATACATACATATATATATATATATATAGTATATGTATATATGCATGCAAAGAAGAAGAAGAATGTAGAAGATAAGAGAAGAGTAGTTTAGCCCTCTCTCCATGAAGAGAGACCCAAACATAGTTTTTGAGGAAAGTTTGGGCATAGGATGAGTCTTTTTTTAGTTATTTTGTAATATATTTCTAAATTTTTAGAGAATAATTGTTTATCTTAAAATGATATGATGAAAAAAGTAAAAGAAATAAAAACTTAAAAGGTTGTTTGCCAAATGCTTACTTGGATAAACGCTTACCAAGTCGTATTATCTTACCGGATGAATATGGCAAATACCAAGAATCTTACCCGATAAGTGATGATAACAACTCTTACCAAGGTTAGTGATACCAAGAGTCTTACCCGGTAAGTGATAGTTTAATAGTTTCATTTTTGTGCCACCGTGGTGACATTTGTGGCCACAACCAACGAACTTTATCTTTAATTTATTCTTTAAGTGTTTTTTCTCTACCCCATTTGGATGTGGGTGTAAGTTGAACCTAAGAGGTAAAATGTAGCACTCGGATATTATCACTTTTTGTTAACTTTTCGATTTGGTCATTCAAGTTGAAGTTTTAATTTAACACAGACAAGCCGATCACTTGTGTGTGTTAATATTATATCTTAAACCCAAAGATGGCCGGATTCGAAATACGCTTGAGTGATGCAATGAAGTTTGAGAAAATCTTTAATAATCACAAAGAGATATGAGTTGTTGCATAACTATCACTAAATTTTAGGTTGTTGGTTGAGTTGGTGCTTTATAAAGATATGCACATCTCCGAACCGAAGGAACTCAGATTTGTGAGATCTACATAATAAGGTTGGCAAACCAAAAGTTAACATTTTTTGCCCACTTTGTGACAAGACCGCACTAAGTTGGCAATGTGTAAGCGTAAACCCGTTACCCATTATGTTTCGACCCGTCAGATAAAGATATGAGTAAAAAAAATAATTCACTTATTCATTATCCGTTTACCAAACATTTTAATGAGTATGGTATGGATAAACGGTTTTTTGTCAACCATTTTGATACTTTCATACTCTTGAAAAAAGTTTACATCTGTATCCGCTGTTTATTACTTGTTATTAATTACTTTAGAAAATCTCACTACTAGAAAATAAGATATCAGCGACGAAAATCAGCGATAGAAAAAAAAACTCTTGCTGATCAGCGAGGGAGAGGCCAAAAACCGGTTCCCTCGTTGATCGCTCACTGATCAGCGAGGGAATGGCCAAAAAATCAGTTCTCTCGTTGATTCTTTGTTGATTAGCGAGGGAATTGGCCAGAAGCAATATCCCTCGTTGATCCCTCGCTGATCCCGATCAGCAAAGGATCAGCGAGAGAAAGGCCAAAAACCATTTCCTTCGTTGTTCCCTCGTTGATTCGTCACTGAAATATTCTCTCGTTGATCTGTCGCTAAAAGTTCTTTCATGGATCTGTCGTTGAAACTGCCTCTCGTTGATCTGTCGATGAAAGGTTCCCTCAAAAATCCGTCGGTGATAGCATTATCTACGAGCTTTTGACCTACGGACTATCAGCGATGGATCAGCGACCGAAGACCCCTTTAGCGACGGATCAGCGACCGAAGACCCCTTTAGCGACGGATCAGCGAGGGAATTTTCCCTCACTGATACTTTTCATTTTTGTAGTGTCTCCCAATCGCTCAAAGTATTTTCTTCTTCTCTAACTGAAATTGGTATATTCTCGACTTAATAGTCAAAACTTTGAAGTCCAATCCATATGGATACAATCTCGGGATTTTTATCATATTATCATTTGAAAATGATCATAGTAGTTGGTGTGCACTTGGATTGCCATTGTATCTAGGGGTGCTCAAAAATCCGACCAACCCGATCAACTCAACCCAATCCAACGCGAAATAACTCAACTTGAAGCAACCCGATGTCGAATCGAGTTGTAAAATTTTCAAAACAATAGATATGGGTTGATATTGGGTTACTATTATTTGAACCGAACCCAAACTGATTAACCCGATATCATTTTATTTATTGGATTTAATATAATTATTGAATTTATATATATATATATATATATATATATATATATAGGAGCGATCAATTGCAAATCACCTTTATTTGTGAAAATCTTACAAATCAATCTTATCCATCAATTTTCATGATTAATGGTCAAGATTAAATGTGTTTATATTAGAAAATAAAAATAAAAGTTTAATTTTTAATTAAAAAAATGACAAAATTGTCAAACTTTTAATTTGTATGATTTTGTAAACGAGGTAACAAGATCGTGGATATCCTAACATTAATGAAACAAAATCATTGTTTTAAAATCTCTATATATCATTTTATCATTACAAAGATTTTAACCAAAAATGTTAGAATAATCTGACAAATTATATGTTTGTTAAAAGTTATCTTCATTTTATGACTAAATATTATAAATAAAATAACATCAACAACCATGACATCCGATTCGTTACTCAAACTACATACATTTTTTCAATGAAACAAAATCAGATTTCATATTGTAGTGCTTTTACAATTCATATTTTAATAAGTATAATTTAATAAAATAATAATAACTATTAATGGTAAAAAATTTATATTAAAAAAAATTGATTTACCACCTTCTATATTTAATGTTTCTATTATTACGTTTCTATAATTAAGAGTAATTATTAACTTACAATATTAACCAATATACAATCAAATGGCCATTATACTCTTACTTATTAAAATTAAAGAAAAAAAACGAAATTTTCCTATTGGTCGAAAATGTTTTGCATGGTTTTCATGAATTGGACGGTTTGTAACGTAACTCGCCTCTCTCTCTCTCTCTCTCTCTCTCTCTCTATATATATATATATATATATATATTAGACAATTACACTATCGTGTACGCTCTTCATATGCACATATTTTCAATTTATTTATATCTTTGTACAACTCATTCGTGTATATGTTCAGTAACTATGAACATATATATGTAATTAAAGAAAATTTAATGAATGTGATATACATAAGAAGTAATAATAAGTTATATCAAATGGTTGATAATGAAAAAGAAATTATGAGTAGAAAAATAACATATTCAAAATTAAAAAAATTATTTTAATGTATCAAAGTATCAATCCAACCAACCTGTACGGTTTGGGTTGGGTTGCACTTTGGTTTGGGTTAGGTTGAGTTAAGATTTTTCAAACCGCAAACATTAAGTTGGGTTGTTCAAATGTCTTTAACCCGATCAACTCAACCCATAAACACCCCAATAATTGGTGTGTACATTTGCTATCAGTAAAAAAATTCGTACCATATAAAGGGAAAGTATTATGCTAAATTCATTAAAAAAATTCCATTTCTAAGATTAAAATTATAAACTAAAAATTAATTAGTTATTTATAGTTAATTGGATAAGATTAAGTCAATAAATGTTTTGGAAATTGATTAAAGATATTCCATTTCAAACATCTTTGCTTGCCCCACCCCTTTATCACATGCCCCTCAAACTTCTCCCTATATATGCCCCCCCTCCCTCAAACTTACATCAAAACTTCCCGGTATCATTCTGAAACCAACTGTGTTTCGATGTGATTTGTGTAAATAATATCCAAAAATGTATGGTTTATTGGAGCAAAATGTATCAGGTCATCGATGTGTTTGGGTGAACGGTGCGGTCATAGTGGGGGCGGGCCCTTCAGGGCTCGCCGTTTCCGCTTGTTTAAGGGAACAAGGGATTCCGTTTGTAGTCGTTGAAAGAACCGACCACATTGGTTCTCTTTGGCAAAAAGGGACCTACGATCGTCTAAAACTTCACCTCCCGAAAAAATTCTGCCAACTTCCGAAACTACCCTTCCCAGACGAATACCCTAAGTACCCGAATAGGAAACAATTCATTACGTATCTCGAGAATTACGCCGAGAAATTCAACATCAAGCCACAATTCAACGAGAGTGTTGAGTCGGCAAAATACGAGGAGAAATGCGGCTTCTGGCGGGTTAAGACCGTCTCGACGTTACCGGGACCGATTCGGTCGGAGACGGAGTATATATCCCAGATGCTTGTGGTGGCAACCGGAGAGAATGCCCAAGGGATTGTACCGGAAATCGAAGGCCTACAAGACTTTTCCGGTGAAGTCGTCCATGCAAAAGACTACAAGTCCGGCGAGAAATACAGCGGAAAGAAAGTTTT